CTAGAAGTTCCATCTGATTCTTGTTTAAGGTATCCATTTCTTCTTTCAAGTCATTAAAGGACTTCCTCATCTCCTAGAGCTCCTTGTCTCTTTTCTCTTCCATCTCAGTTAATTTGGTCACTACAAATATTCTGAATTCTTTATCAGACATGTCCACAACGTCCATTGTATTGACTGTGGGTGATGTAGGCTTGATGGTTTCCCTTGAAGGAGAGTCTTTTTGTTGGTTGCTCATATTTCTTGAGCCTCTGCGATTGTTCCTAGTCATCAGGTAATCTATATGTTTCTTCCTAACTTATGTAAGGTATCTCTGAATGTTAAAAGTTGTACAGGATTAGAAAATTGATGATTTCTCTTATGGTTGGCCTACCTGTTGTTCACAATTACCATTAACTGTTGCCACTAGCCCTAGATGGCCCAAAGTCCTCCCTGTTTCTAAGGAGTGGTGAGCCTTCAACTGACCTAATAAGCAACACCCCAAGAGCAAAGAAAAACAAAAGAAGGAAATTGTGCAGCATGCAATGCGCACTATTCAAATCACCAAAATTCAAAGAGTCCAATGGTTAGTGGGAAAGGGCCAGAGGATGAGTGACAAGACCAGGTTGGTTGGGCCTGCAGCCTCAGTCTGCCTGGTGTCCGGAACTGCTGGCCGGCTCGATCCGGATTGCAGGTGGGGTGGGGTGGGAGTTTGCCTTAAAGTCTCAGACAACCAACCTGGGGTCCAAAGAGGAGGAACGGTGGGGATGTGTGAAGATTCGGAAGGGTCGGGACTGCAGCCTCAGTCTGCCTGGTGTCCGGAGCTCATAAAGATGTAATTTTAATGAAAATAACCATACAAGAAAATGAGTGAGATTGCAAATACATAGGAACAAAGTTGTCTTATCCAAATGAAACTAAGTTGATAATAATTTAGATTTTTATATATGGAGATTCTATTTGTCTTCCCCATAAAACCTGCTAAGAAAATTTCTCAAAAATATCTTCTATAGCGGGGACTAGCAGTTAGCATAATGGTTATGTTGCTGGACTCCCACATAGTCGACCACGGTTTGAGTCCTGGACCCGGTGGCTTAAACTCACGCCGGGTGCGTGTGCGTGTGTACCCAAGATCTTGGGAGGAGAATGGAGGAGAAGGGATTGCGGTGTGGCCATCCCCCCTGGGGGGTGATTTCTTGCTTTCTATCTCTCTGTCTCTCTCTGTCTGGCGAGCGCATGCGCCCTATAGCAAAAAACTCACCCCCCCAAAAAAAATATCTTCTATAGGGAATTAAAAATATGCACTGGACAATCTAACACAAAAGAAGACTGCAATAGAGATATAGAGGAACAAAAGGGCAGAAAACTAGTAGTAAAGCAGCAGGTGTAACTCTTACGTTATAAGTAGTTACGTAAAATTTAAATGGATTGAGCACTCTAATGAGAAGACAGAGTTTGGCAGAAAGATGAAAATAACATGATCCTACTATATATTGGATCTTTATATTTGAAGGCACAAATACATCGAAAGTACAAGGAAATAAAAAGATAGCTGAACAGTAAGCATAAGGGAGCTGGAGGAACTCAACAAATTCCAGAAGACAAAATAGACTGTAAGAGAAATTTCTGTTGTTACAGAAAGAGAAAACATTTTATAATGATAAGAGAGTCAAGCCATCTGCAAGATAGGACCACTACACATAAATATATGCTCCTAAAAAGAAACTTAAAAAACACAAGAAAAATAATCTGACAGAAAAAAGAAAATAGTAGTAGAGGCTCCTTCAGTGCCTCTCATTCAATGATGGACAGAATAGTCTGATCAGCTAAGAAATGTCTAATTTCTACTTATGCTATGTCATATTTAAAATCTCCAGATTTCAACACATTGCAAAGCCTGCAAAGGAGAAAGACCAATATGCAGTCATTAGCTTATAGTAAAGGGTAACGTTGGTTGCCTCTCTGCTTAAAAACACTATACCAGGGCACTTAGAAGAGATGTGCATGTTTGTAGAATATGTATATGGAGGATGTGTGTGTGTCCTGGATTATAATCTTGAAATCTGAAGAGAACAATCATGGAGATTAGCTAGTCCTTTTTATTTCTTGGGGCAGAAGTCCCCTCCATAATATCCTTGAACTAGATGGTCATTAGTGTTCTACATGAGTAGTTTTAGTGTGTCTGTTCTCGTTCTCTCTTAAGATACCCATTCTGTGTATTTCTTAACTTCACTGTGTCTTTCACAGTCATCACAGGAAATTATGTTCTCTCTGCTGTTATAGAGCATACACTCCACTTCATTGACCTTCCAGACCAGCGAAAAATGAGAATCATCCACCTACATGCTGTTCAAGAAAATGGTCTAACAATAATGAAAGGCTGAAGATAAAAAGATAAAAGGGCAAATATATACTATCCAAGCATTAACAAAAAGAAAGCTATTGTAGCTATATTAATAGTAGACTGAAACAAGCTAAAGGGAAGAAAAAAGCAGTAATAGTTATTTCATAATGATAAACCTAGAAGCTATAACAATTCTAAATTTGTACACACATTTTCCGTGGTGTTTTAAAACTTGCCCTATTTATTGTTCACATTTTTACACTGAATGTTCTTCTCCAAGTTTCATGCAGTCAGCAAAAATTTCAAATCATTTTTTTCATGTCTGTTTTCAGCTAAGTTCTTACCTAAAATCACTGAGGCTCAAATTAATACAAATCCTTGTTTGTGCTTACGAGTTTCTTTTTTACTATCAGTTCTTTCTATTTCTGTTCTTGTTTGACTAAGGAACAAGGGTGTTGGCTAGTAGTTGGAAAGATATTTGATATGAAATTATTGTACATATTAACTTACTATGAATGACATGGTTTACAAAGCTTTCTTTTCAGAATTCTTTTTTTATGCCTTTGTTTGTGTCTATCAGAAGCTGAAAACAGGTTGCCATTCAATAAAGGGTAGCCATATATATTCATTCTAATTACCTTGCCTTTCATTTTTACCTTTTTTGGCTTGTTATTGCCTTCTGACTTATAATAAATCATTTTAAGTCATTTCCTTTTTTATGTCATATGTGCATGTTAGATGCTTCGTCTACATAGTTTACTCAAATACTTATACCTCAGAATGGAGGTACAATCTCTTTGGAGTACATAGAATGATGTGTAAAATATTATTAATTTGCCTATCTTGATCTGTGGCTGTTGATTCAAGAAACATCTACTAAATCCCTAGTCTTTGATAAGCAGTATTAGTAAAAACTATAATAAAACAATATATTTAAAAAGGTAATAAATCCTCATGCTTTGTTTCCTAAGAAATACAAGCATTTAATTTAATTTCTTATAATTGGGGAAGGGAAGAACATTTCCTAAAGAAACATAAAAGTCATTTTGGGGACAATGAAAAAATGAATAAATGATAATCTTTTAAAATTTTCAGGATGAGAGAGACACAGAGAAAGAAGACGAACTGGAACTGAAGAGAGGTCTTTTATACAGAGACTCGGCTTATGACAGTGACCCGGAATATAGGTATCAGTGTGGTTAATATTATATAAAGAGGTCTTTCTTATAGTTGGTATAAAAATAACCTGTTTCTTAATCCTCTAATTTTTTTCCCTGTAGGAAAGACTCCTCAAAAGGAGTCTGTTCAGTAATTTACTTTTTAACTATTTAAATTCATAATAAAATAGTCTCACTTTTGCCTTACAGAAAGTGTTTTGTTTTGTAGAGATTTTTGCTATAGGGTGCTTGTGTTCACTGGGGAGACACACAGAGAAAAAGAGAGAAATCACCTCCCTTCTCTCCTCCCCAGTGGAGATGACCATGACTCAATCCCTTCTCCTTCATTCGCCTCTTGAGATTTTGGGCATGTGCACACACATGCTTGGCATGATTTTCAAGGTGCTGGGACCAAGACTTGAACTGCAATCAGCCATGTGGGAGTCTAGTGCCTTAATCACTATACTACCTGCTGATCTTACCTTACTGAAACTTTTAGTGAAAACAAATATAGTCAATTAATGGTTATGCCTTTCATCCTACTTAAGATTTACTTGGATGTCCTGCAAATCTACATATTTCAGGCATATTGATTCTAATCTAAAGAAACAACTATCCATAATTTTGGACCATGAAAAAAAAAACTTTTTGAATAATATAAGAGCACATTCAGGTTTTCTTGCCTAAAAGTTTAGGAATGTTAGTAATAATAAAATTTTAGCAAGATTGTACTTTCAATTTCCATGAGGACTTTTTTTAAATAATTTTTTTACATTATTTATTTATTTTTTTTAATTTGGAAAGAGACAGAGAGAGAGAAATAAAGGGAAAGTGAGAAAGCAAGCTGCCAGGACTGAGATATGAACCACAGCTGGTCATGTGGGAGTCTAGTACCTTAACTACCACGCTACTTGCCAGCCCCTCATGAAGACTTTTGAAAGCTTTGTGTCAATTCCATGAAATACAGTATTTAAAGCTATAAATGATGGTTTTATGCAGTTAAAGTTCTCTTAATCCTTAAAGCCTATATCACTAATTACTATGTGGCTTTTACCTTCTTGAGATTCTTGAGGAATAGGTATAAGAAAGGTATTCCAAGTATTGGAACCTGTCTTATTGATAACTGGAGTTTCACACTCAATTCCCTGATCTTTTAGCCTGGTTAACTAGGCTGGATTATCTATGAATCTGTGGGGACTTCTTTAGCCTCTTACAGAGAGTACAAGTACGTGTGACCTCCTGTCCCAAAGTTACTCCCCCCTCAGGTAAGAGACAAATTGGGCTTCTTTATAAGGTAGGTTTTATCTTATGGAGGAATTTGGAAGAGAAGCAATCCAAAGAGAAAAAGGAATGGACAGAGAGTACACACTTTGAGGAAGAATATATGTTTTTATCCTTTGTTATTCTTTCTTAAAGCTCTATTTTCCAGATTTTTATATGGGTTAGAATCTCAATTTTGGGTGCTTAACCCATATAATTCTAATTTAGATGAGAAATGAGTAGGGCAAATAAAAGATACGATCTGATGTTCTACCCTTAATATTTCTAATTATTGCCTAGGGTGCATCTTACACATATAGATTTCCACTTCCTACCCCAAAGATTCTATTTTCTGTATACAGACGAGACCTGGACATCTGCATTTTAAGAAATATTGTAGGATGATGCCAATGCAGGTAGTATAAAGATCACATTTTCAAAAGCACTGCTCTATATCTGAAGTTTGCCAAAAACCTCAATTTGGGGTCTTTTTCGGCTCACCAGGCAATGTTAATAGCTGATCTTTTGATCAGTCAGGTTCTTCCTAAGTGAGAGAGTTAGCTGAATATCAGAAAAGTTGTGCTTGCACTTTTTTCTTTCAGATTATAAAATCCTTGCCACTTCTCTTATATACAACATGGACCAGTAGGAAGAAGTGGATAACTTACAGAAGATACTGAAATGGCTAATATATTATTTTACTTTTAGCCCCAAGTCATATTATATACTAGGACAAGTAGATATTCCCATTCTACTTTCCATCTGAAAGATTTGGTGGAAGTCACACTCAAAGTAATCACCTTCTAGGTAGCCCTAAGGTTTCCATCAGCAGAAGTAAAGGAGGAGTTTGGAATCTTGGCTTACTATCATCCCTCTGCTGATGCTCATTGAGACAGAGGTCAAGGGAAGTATTCAGGAATCTCTGGAATGACTGAGGAGCTAAGCTCCTCTCCCCAAAAAGAAGCAACAAAACCAGACAGAATTGTCATAACCAATTACTTCAAAATTCTTATGAATTGACAAAAGGCATATAACAAATTGAGAAGCATTTATCAAGAAAATTTATTGAACCTCATTCAAAAATATACTGAACCTTAGTATGTGGCATTTTAACCTAGAACTTCCATCTCACCCACCACTCCTGAACTTCTGGTGGAACAAAAGTTCTACTGGAGCAGTTGTATGGAAAGACCAACACCTCTGCTGCCAGAGGCACTAGCTTTATACCGAGCAGAGCTTGGAAAATTTCAAGTGCAGGTGCAGTAACATTTCTCATAATGATCCTACTGGCAACAATCAGGAGAGGTTTGAAATCTTCAAAAAAAAATTTTCCCTCTTAATTGCAAGAGTACATGCACTCACTAAAGAGAGACATAGGAGTGGGGTTTGGGGGTTGGGTAAAAGCACCCCACAATGGGGCCTAGTCTCATAAGCATACATAATGCTGTATGTCTAGTCTCAGAACCGAGCCTTAGTGAGCTACTAATTTATGGCTAAATAGGAGGTCATATGAAGGCAAAAAATAAATTCAGAAAAGACTTGTAAATTGGATGAACTTCAAATATATTTCCTAAGTAACACATAGATCCATTCACAGAAAAATGAAGCCTTATAAGATTATTGTATTTGACCACTCATTTTTGGCCACTAATCTATGCTGACCCAGAAGTAGCGTAGGAAGCCGGGCTGTAAAATGGAAACATTGGGGGGGGGGGGGGGGGAGGATCAAGTGATACCAGCAACTGCACAGTGTGAGGGAAATGGAGTCTACAGATCAGTGCAGGCAAGTCACTAAGTAGAAAATCGAAAACAATAACAACACTGGTAGAGAGGTCAGAATCCAGAGTTGCTGGAATAGATATCTAAAATGTCTACTTTTCAACAAAAAAAAAATTTTGGAACATGTAAAGAAAAAGTGTGACCCATATACATGAAACTGAATTATTAGAAATGCCTCTGAGGAAGCCCAGCTATTGGATTCAGCAGACTTCAAAGCAGCTATGCTCAAAGAACTAAAGGAAACCATCTAAAGAATGAAAAGAAAATATAATGATAATGACCCATAAAATAGAAAATATTCGTAAGGAAAAATTATTTTTCGTGTTCTTCTCAGCAAAATATTATCCTGAGGACTCAGTATTTTATCTTACAGTCTGCATATACATTGTGGTTACCAGGCACGAAGTATGGCAGATATTCAGGGCTTTCTACAAGAGCGGAATGGGCAAATAGAGTGCTCGTCCGTCCTCTAGGCATCAGCGTGCTCATGGTTGTCTCATGTCTTCTAGCAACTTCTGAGTGTGAAACTCACTTGAATTAAGTCTCTTATCAAGGAGTTAATAAATGACACTTTACTTGCAATATTTTGAGTTTTGGAAGTTAGGCTGTGGAAATGTAGACTTCCTTCTTACTTCATATTGCTTATCTTCTAGGACGTTTTAGACATTTGCTAATAATCCTGCTAATTCCTAGGGCCCTGGGATGCTCTATCTTCCTTTTAGCACTTTATAAATATATTTAAAATTTCTTTACCTTTCAGGGTATTTAAAATTCTCTACATTTTTGTACATTTCTGGCATCATTATCCTATATGAGCATTGGTCCTAATTGGGCCTGCGGTAGTGCTCCATATAGATGTGAGTTAGCTACAAAAGGAGAAAAATAAGAAAAAAAAATTTTAACTTCTGTTAAGAATACAATTTGCTCTTTTTCTCTTTAGAATTATTTTTTATTTAACTTTATTTATTTAAATTTGACCAGAGAGGGACAGAGTGAAAGTGAGAAAGAATGTGAGAAGGTAAGCTACCAGTTCTAGGACTTGAACTGTGGTTGGCCATGTGGGAATCCAGTGCCCTTAACCACCACGCCACCTGCTGGCCCCTAAGCTGCTCTTTAATGACTGTTACTCCAAATTTTTAGCAACATTCTTTTTTATAGAACTAGCTATTGTTAAAAACTATTTTCTGTTTGCTTACGTATATTTTTCAGAATAGTAATGGTAGGAATGTGCCCAGATAAACTTTTTAAATTTTTAAATTAAACACTTAATACATTTTGAACTTATTAATATACTCAGTGACAAAACATCAGAATTGACATAATCCACTAATTTGAGAGCCAGTCCTTAGTCCTTCCGTGTCTGGAAGTAAATAGATTCTTATATTCTGTTTTCACCTATTCATAGTCTCCAATATTAGGACCATTCTACGTTCATATCTTTTGTTTTGCAATTTAGACATCCATACTAAACCAATTCCCAGTTTTCTCCAGAGAACCACAATACTATTCGTAAAATTTTTCCAGTTTAAATAGAAATAAATCCACTGCCAAATTTTGCCAGATCTAAATCATTAGAATGTCTGTTTGGCCACTTTAGCTATACTTTATCGGACCTTATCAGGCTCACAGTTGATCCCAAAGAGCTTTCTGAAATTTATTTATTCATAGCAAGATGCTGACATTTTACCAGCTTTGAAACTTGGGGAAAAAAAAAATTGTCTAATGGAACCAAAGCAGTAGCAAATCTGTGCCTGGTAACAATAAATATAGTTTGTTGTGATAGTCCTCTGGTTTAAAAACTGAGAAAAATCCACACCATAGTTTTGAACATTAGTAGTGATGTGTGCTAGAAATTCACACTTCAGCTGAGTAGGTTTATTGCACCATTACTAGCCTGGAAACTAAACAGTAATAAAGTTTACGTATGCAGTAAGTTGATGATTGTGGACAACAGAGAGACAGGTACAGATCTATACTTATAAAATGCCAATTAGCACATGGCTTAGTACAAAAAAAAGTGCAAAACAACTAAACAAACAAAACACAACTAGGACTCCTAGAGCAGTGTAAGGAACAAGTGTAAGTGGGAATTCAGGCTGCTTGCAGAGGTATTAGGTACATGCCCAATTTTCCTATTAATGTCCCCCATCATTTGACTCAAATTGTCAAAAGCTTTTTTTAAGTGACAGCAGGAGTTAGACCTGGAGAGAAATTGTATGAAATAAGTTATATTCAATTGGCTAGACAATTTTTTGTGAAAAGCTGATGGATGAGGGTGCTGTTATATCAAAGCAATCACATCAAGGGTTGGCTAAGGCATTATGAAAAATTTTAAAGATCATACTGATAGTATTTGAGATTATTCTAATCACCACTCTGAAACTGAGTGAATGAGTTATGTATGTTAATCATCTTTTAAAATACCTTTAGTGTCCCAGAAACTATATAATTTTCAAAATTATCTAGTATGAGAGTTGTTACCAAATGTAAATAAAATTACTATGATTTAGTAAATATTGCTAGAAAATACAAATTTGAATCCATTTTAGCAAAGCCATTAGAAAATAGACCTATTTGCTATATGGAGTTACATTTTAAAAAAACTTTTATTGTGCAATTTATCAGTTATAACAGAGGAATATATTGAAGGCTTGTGCACCCTACATAATAATGATGATGTAAAATTAATACCTATGTACTCATCATCATAGCTTAAGAACTAGAAAATAACCCATACCTGTGAAGTCACCATATACCCCCACCAATCACATCTTTTTTCCACAGAGAATACTGCTACTATGACTTTTTTATTAATCCTTTTCTTATTCTTCTTTAGAGTTTAATTGTGTAACTTTTCTTGAGCAATAGATTATTTAGTTCTTGTTTTAAACTTTTATAAATGCAATCGTACTTATGAATTGTTTGTAGTTTGCTTTTGCCTAGTCAGTTGATTTTTATCTGTGTTGATGCATATACTTGTAGGTCATTCACTTTGCCTGTTGTGTGCTGTGCTATTTTATATGCATATGCTACAATTAGATTTATCTCTGTTGTAAGGTAGGTAGATATTTAGATCATTTACAGTTCTTAGCTATACAAACAGTATTATTATGGACATATTTGCACATACCTCCTGCACATACTAGGAGAGGAAATAGCAAGCTAAAGTTACATAGTTACTCATACTGGGTCACACCAAACTGTTTTCCAATCTATGAGTATTCTCATTACTGTACATTCTCACTGACACTGTGTCAAACTCTAGGAACGATAGCACAGCCATTCCATGCTTTTTTTCTGTGGTCATTTTTATTGTGCACAGGTGATAGATTGACTGTAGGCTATATAACAAATTATCTTTACAGATCTACAGCTTCAGGGGTTCCTATTTCACAACTGACAATAGAAGTAACATCATGAGATGGATAAGTCAGGGGAAGAAATTGTTTCTGTGAAGTGAGATTCTAAATATACAAGGACAGAGATATTTGTCACATTTAATAACTGTGATACACAGTTTTATATGTCATAAACATCTTACTCTCTAAGAGGACCAAGTGCTCCATAACAAGTATTTCACTTACTCACGTAGGCCAATTATTTATTTTCTAAAAGTACATTCAGACTTCGAAGAAGTGAATATTTTAATTTAAGAAAATATGTTAAATTACAACAAGCTTAGTCTTGGTCTATTTCATTAGCTTCCTGTATGTTTTCTGTCTCTCTTTCCTCCTCCCCCTTAAGATCTTCAAAACTACAGTAGGTCTTCCCTATATTTTAAATTTAGACTTTTCTCCTTGTTTCCATTTTCCATGGATTATATTCAACCTAACTTGCTATACCTTCTTGAGGACAATAGCAGCAGAGCGTAGTCCTAATGGCCTGAGAGCCACAAACATGTATATATAATGATAATCATGTTTTAAAATATATACATTACCCAAAGACCCTATATTATATTCAGAATTACCAACGTGAAGAGATGTTGCCACGTGTAAAGAAAGCTTGCCATGATCTAGTAAATATTACTGGAAGATACAAGGTAGAATCCCATTTTAACAAAGCCATCAGAATATAGAAAGACCTGTTGGTCTCCTCCTCCAGTCTGCCACTTACTAGCAGGGTAGTCTTGGGTAAGTCATTTCACTTTACTGAACCTTAGTTTCCACATCTACCAGCTTCTAAGGATTGTGGTATTTATTGATGAATATGTATAAAGTACCTAGCCTGGTGTCTCATATTTAAGGATATCTGTGTCCAAGGGAAACACTGTGCTATGTACTTCCAAAGTCTCACAATTGTGAAGAGTTAGCTTGAATTCATTTCTAGGGGTGCCTGAGTTTACAGGCTATGTATTCTCCTACTAGCCAGACCCAACATCTGTGCTCTCCTTCTATCACGCTGCATCTGTGTCTGTTCTCTAAATTTATTTTTAACTCTAACACAGAATTTTCATTTTATTGTTGTAATTACATTACACCAGTAGTTCTGCTATTCCGTGTTAGAATGTCTCCCTTTGAAGGCACAGACCTTACTGTATCTTATTTCAGCATCCCAACAAAGTATCACACACCCATAAAGTACTCAGTAATATTTGAGTTATTAGGTCATTGGGAAAGTCATGATGTATTTTTCTGTTTTTCTATGCAAAAAATGTGTCACGACTTTTCCGATGACCCAATATATAGTATTCTCTCTAACTTAGTTTCACTATTGTTTTAAGTCCTTTATATTCTTTCTTACAGCTCCTATCAGCGGCCACGTGGCACTCTCCACTTGGATGATGGTGAATACTGGTCCAACCGGGCAGCCTCTTACAAGGGAAAATCCCACCGACCCATCTTTGAGAACAGCATGGACAAGATGTACAGGAACTTATACAAAAAGGCCTGTAGCTCTGTTTCTCATACACAGGAAAGCTTCTGAGGCCATCCATGATAAACTGTATGAGTGTCTGTGTCAACTTCTCAATGAAAACGTTTGATGTGATCAATATCTGGATTTCTTTTCTTAAAAAATTGAGTACACTAGGTAGATTTAAATAAGTGTATTACTTCAAATGTTAAGTTATCATAGCAAAGCCCTTTTTAAAACTAGTGTCACAGAAGAGTATGCTATGTTCCAAATGTCTAAATTCTGGAACACAATCACAACGTCCATACTGTGACAAGGATTTGTTGTCACATATGTCTGATATAAACATCTTTAAATCCAATAATAGGTTATCTCAGAAATGTCCTTTTGCCTTAATCACTTTCTAATTTTCTTTTCATCTTCTTGACTGATTATCCTATCTGGTAAGATTTGGTTAACATTAACTTCCTTTTCTTGGTAATGAGCAAAAGGATATAATAGAAATTAATTTCCCAAGCTTTTAAACCTTGTTTTAATTAGTACTTTTTTCTCCACCAGAAAAGGCTATTTATGTTTCTTATTTCTTAGCTCATAAGAAATAACTTTCTTCTTAAAGATTATATAATCACTTTATCATTTCTGGAAGAACTACTTAAGTTACCTAGAATGAATAACAACTGGAAACAGCAGTGGCTATGTATCATTAAAAATGTGAATAACTAATTTTTAAACATAGAATTTTTACATGATTTTCCTTATGGCCATAACTTTCAGTACAACCAGACTATGAAAATAATCTTTGTTAGTAAGCTTGTGGAAACTCAGAAAGGATAAGGGAAGTATATTGTAATTAAACCTTTAGAATTTTCATAAGTATGTCTTCCTAGAAAGTAATACTCTTACTTTGAATGGCACTTGGAACCACAAGGGGAGCAAAATATTATAGCAGAATTCTTTGGGGTAGTACTTGAAAAAAAAAAGTCATTTGATAAAATTAGCCTCTTTTTCTCTGTCCCAATACACACTGTGAAGTCAGTGACACTTTGAAAATACAAAGAAATCAATTACCTCATATTTACTAGACAGTGAGGGGAGAGAACGCAGAGTGGGAAATAAATGAATGTGGCTTACAAGCTTGATGAGTTGGCTATAAGTTGATGTTTTCTTATTGACTTCATCTTTGGTGAATTTTATAGTTATACTTTTTAAAGGAAAAGAAAAAAGAAATTGGGTGATTTATTTTTGTATTAGGGGAAAATATATAATACTTGTTATCTAATGACAGAACTTTTAAAAGTCACATTAAGAGTGTTTTAGTGTGCCAATCCATGATATATCAGAAGGGGCATCAGAGATAAAAGCCCAGAACCAAGGCTTTGGTCATACAGAAATCTCTGCCATTTCCTATGAGTCTCTTAATTCTCTGGTCTTACAGTTTCCTTAGCTATGTAATGAGACTAGCATAGAGCCTAAACCATGGTCTGTGGACCAGGACCACAGTCCTAAGAAATGTTTGTAGGGATAAAGATATGAGTATTTTGTTGGTCATTGTAAGCCTTTTTTTTTTTTTTTAAAGAGAGATTTTTGCTATAGGGCACTTGTGCTTAGTGGAGAGACAGAGAAAGAGAGACAAAAAGTGAGAAATCAGCTCCCAGGGAGGATGGCCACACTCCAATCCATTCTCCTTCATTCTTCTCTCAGGATTTTGGGCATGCACGCACACATGTCTGGTGTAAGGGGTTTTGTTTTGAGTTTTTTGTTTGTTTGTTTGTTTGTTTTGAGAGGTTTTTGCAATAGGACCTGTATGCTCACCAGAAAGACAGGGAGACAGAAAACGAGAAATCACTCCCCACGGGGGATGGTCATGCCACAATCTCTTCTCCCCCATTCTCCTCTCGGGGTCTTGGGCATACACACACACTCGCCGGGCGTGAGTTTAAGCTACCAGTTTCAGGACTTGAACCGCGGTCGACTCTATGGGAGTCCAGCAACATAGCCATTATGCCATCTGCTGGTCCAGGTCATGTAAGCTTAAGGAAAATCTATTCAGTACACACACATACACTGCACATACCCCTCTTAGAAGCACAGGTAGGATGACAGGAGTTAAAGGGATACTATTAGTGCTAGAGTGGCACTTGTAAATTGCAGCTGTCACCAGCAAGCTAGAACATGTTGATTATCCTAGTCGCAGTGAACACTAACATGTTAGAACTTTAAGAAATCCCGGTATAAACATGTTTTTCTGTAGCATGTCATAGAGTCTGGCATGTAATTGATAATCCTTAAGTATTTATTAAATCATCTCAGAACTTCTTAAACTAAGTTTTTCTTGTAATAGTATTTGTTGTTACAGCCACCACCTCAACTCCTTCAGCTCTCCCCACTCTCCATAAATGCTATCTTCAGGTCCGTGTGGCACTGACTGGGAAATGCTAACTAATGGCCGCTGAGTTACCCTCCGGGAATTTTTTTTTTTTTGAGAGGTTTTTGCTATAGGGCACATGTGTAGCCAGAAAGACAGAGAGAGACAGAAAGTGGCAATGGCCACATCACAATCTCTTCTCCCCCATTCTCCTCTCGGGGTCTTGGGCATACACACACACTCGCCGGGCGTGAGTTTAAGCTACCAGGTTCGGGACTTGAACCGCGGTCGACTCTATGGGAGTCCAGCAACATAGCCATTATGCCATCTGCTGGTCCAGGTCATGTAAGCTTAAGGAAAATCTATTCAGTACACACACATACACTGCACATACCCCTCTTAGAAGCACAGGTAGGATGACAGGAGTTAAAGGGATACTATTAGTGCTAGAGTGGCACTTGTAAATTGCAGCTGTCACCAGCAAGCTAGAACATGTTGATTATCCTAGTCGCAGTGAACACTAACATGTTAGAACTTTAAGAAATCCCGGTATAAACATGTTTTTCTGTAGCATGTCATAGAGTCTGGCATGTAATTGATAATCCTTAAGTATTTATTAAATCATCTCAGAACTTCTTAAACTAAGTTTTTCTTGTAATAGTATTTGTTGTTACAGCCACCACCTCAACTCCTTCAGCTCTCCCCACTCTCCATAAATGCTATCTTCAGGTCCGTGTGGCACTGACTGGGAAATGCTAACTAATGGCCGCTGAGTTACCCTCTGACTTTAGGTTATATGATGTTTTGCACAGAAAGCTTTTGAAAGTCAATATTAAATAATCTCTTTAATTAAAATCATATCCTCAGTGAAAATTAGTGTTTTTCTATGGAAAAAATATGAAGAATTCCTCTACTTAAAACATGCTGCTTGGTGAAAAGAACAAATGTGAACTTCAAGGAAAATGTTTTACTGCCACAGAAAATCTCCTGAGCGAATAAGCAGTACAAAAATTACATATTGCATCTGTAGCTGTTATTGGCTATGAAAAAAAGATGCAAAATGTGGAACTCAAAGGGGAAATTTCAGAAACTGATATTCTGAAAGACATTTTCCTATTAATTTGGCATCTCTGAAGGACGGGAGCAAATGTTCAGGTAGATACTGTTGTTGGTAAGTGTCTGAGTATCTTTCATTTCTAGGGGAAAGCATGGTTTCTCTTGCTGTTATTGTGAGTGCTTATGCTGTATTTTTAAAGAGTAAATCTTAAAAACTTACAGTTGACTTTTTTCATTGATAAAAGCAAAAAAGTACTGCTGTTTCTAGCTTTTCCACAAATCTCATAAGAGTTACTGGGGCTAAAATGTAAGATAAATAAGATTTTCTTCCTTTTAATGTTTTTTTTTTTCATTAAAAAAAGACATACAGATTTTAGGAAGGAAAATTTTAAACTTAGCAAACAAAAATGAATCATTGGATCGTGAGTCTTCCCTGGATCTGCATTAGTTATATAACTTTAAGTCATTTGTTTTTCTTATAGTTGTTTTCTCACCTATAAAGTAATGAAATACTGCTAGCATCATTGATGTGGAAGTTTTTTTGTGTGGATATATGGCTTTATTTCTGTTAAGTGTACACTTAGAAGTTAAATTACTAGGTCATATAGAAACTCTTTTTTTAACATTTTGAGGAATTCCCAAACAATTTACCAAAGTGACTGCACTATTTTACAGTTATTGTGTCCATTTTTATTTTACCTGAAGATCTTAGGCTAGTTACACATTCAAGTCTTCTCCATCCATTCATTACTCACTTACTGGATACTGTGTTAGAAGTAGAGGGTATAAAATTTTAAAACATATTATTTATAGTGTAAAGAGTCTATTTTAAAGAAAAGCCTATTGAGAGAGGTAACAGTGTATTTAAACATTTGCAGTGAGTTGATAAATTTCTGTGTAAGAAAATGTAAGAATGTCGATAAGGACCTTTTAGCTTTATTAAAAGAACATGCAAAGATGTGAAAATGCAAGGACATGACAGCAGCAGGCTGGTCTAGAAATACCAGGCATTTTAGCTGGAGATGGTGTTAAGTGTTGCAAATACCATGGTGTAGAGTATGATATCATGAGTGTAGTAAGAAAACTGCAAAGAGAATGACAGTCAAAGAACAGCATTAGAAGAGGTGACTTATCAACTGGAGATTGAAAGATGGGAAGGGCTTTAGAGAGTAGGAAACAAGATGGAATAAACTAAATGTTGATTTGGTTTTATAAAGATGGAGATGGGGGTCAAGAAAAGTATCCACTACTGAGTTAAAAATCTAGAACTTAAGAGAATTCCAGAAAAAGAAAAAAGGATTTTGAAGACAGATAAAAATAATGAAGACTGTTATTATAAAGATAAAGGAAAATAAATCTCTATGTTGTTAAATGATTTTTTTAAAAAGAAAGCTCTATATTGTTTTTTCCTACTCTATATATACTCTCTCTATATATATAACCATAATAGCGACTCTGAGAGTTGGTGGACCCTCAAAACTTCACTTTTTGCTTATTAATGAGGCTGTGATGATAGTGAGTTAGTTTGAGAGTCACTCTTTTAGAAATTAAGATATCCTCTTCCCAATCCCAGATTTTTTAAATAGTTAGAGATTCATGTACGGAATGAAGAAGAAAAACTCAACCTTTTTGTTATTGAGTTATTACGAGTTTGTTATTTATCTCTGAATCATGTACTTTGAGTTTCATTATATAAAGTTTACTCAGATAAGCT